ATAGGTGTATTTTTTTTAACTAAAAAATCTGCTATTTAGAACTGCCTCGAAGCTCATGTATTTTATATGCGGAAAAAAACAAGTACATAGTATAGAATTCTTTAAAAACAATCTTTTTTTTGACTGGGAAACTCTGTTGTTTCTTTAGGAGACTACCAATAACAATACCCAATTGCTTATTTTCCTCATTTTTATGGTCCTCCTATTGGATTTTTTGGAGTTGTTCTGGGACCTATACCAAAATAGTTAATATTAAAAAATTGTTAAATAAGCAATTCGGCATTTTTATTGGAAGTCTCCTAAAGAGAAATTGAGTTTTCCGAACGAAGAATATTCTGCCATATCCTAAGATTCGCTCGAAAAAAATTCACAAGAAAATTAAGAACAGCTTTAAAGTATCATGGACGGAATAATGAAAGCTGTTACGATACTTTTGGTCGTGGTGAATGCTTTACCAAATTGTAGCATTTCTAAAAAAGTGATGACAGGAAAAGTGCCATTTGTTTATATTGTGACAAAACGATACAAAACAAAGGGCCAACTTCAAGACCGTCAAGAGCTAATTCACTCTAATCGTGTGCATAATTGAATTATTAACCAGTTTGCTGATTTTTTTTTTTTTGGATATCCGAAAATACGAATATTAGCCGGATCTTCGTAAATCCGGATATCCGAATAATTTCACACGCGCATATTAACCGGATATCCATACTCTCCGGATTTAATTCGTGTCCGTATGGACACGATGATATTCGAATATGCGCATAGTCGCAGCCCTAGTACCTACGCGTACATATGAATGTGTTTCTAAAAATCTACATTCGTACATATGTACATTAAAGTGGTCCAAAAATGTTAAAAAAATAAGATCGGATTTTTAATGCCACCACCCCCTAGGATTGTTATATACCGAAAAAAAATATACTCTTTTTTTTTTTTTTTTTAAATAAAAAATAATTTAGGTAGTGCTCAAAGCGCTCAGAGTTTTCCATGTATTTTATATGGAGAAAAAACATCTNTTTTAATGCCACCACCCCCTAGGATTGTTATATACCGAAAAAAAATATACTCTTTTTTTTTTTTTTTTAAATAAAAAATAATTTAGGTAGTGCTCAAAGCGCTCAGAGTTTTCCATGTATTTTATATGGAGAAAAAACATCTTTTAGTAGAAATAGTGTAGAATTCTTGAAAATCAATATTTTTCGATCGGAAAACTTTACTTATCTTCAGGAGACTCCCAGTAATAATACTCAATTTGTTCTTTAATAATTTTTTCATGATAACTATATTTTATAGGTCCTCCAAAGTCCTTAGAAAATGCAATGGGGGGACCAATAAAAAATCTTTAATCATAAAAAATGGTTAAATAAATAATTGGATATTAGTCTCCTGAAGAGAACCATAGTTTTCCGGTTGAAAAATATTGATTTTCAAGAGCTTTATACCATTACTACGAACATTTTTTTTTTCTCCATATAAAGTACATGGAAAACTTTGAACGCTTTGAGCACTCCCTAAATATTTTTTGATTTCAAAATAAAAAAATAGGGGTATATTTTTTTCAATATGGATTAATCCTAGGGTGTGCCGGCATTAAAACTCCGACTTTATTTTTTGGACCACTCTAATGTACATACATATGTATGGAAGTGTAACCTCTGCATAATGCAATGTAGCATTCATTTGAAATCTTAGATTTTCCGAAAACTTTTTCGCTTCATCTGCATTTTAATGTGTGGTCCCAACTGGAAACTTGCAACATGCAACACATGTTGCCACTACCTAAGTATCCACATTCTGAAATAATTTTTCCATATGCCAGCATAAACGCGCAATCACGTAATGTAAAGCAAAAGGAGGAAATACGAAATGCCAGAACTTACATATGTTTATACATACGAGTATATCAAGCGGAATCTCTTTGAATTTTCACTGACAGCTTTCCGCAGACATGCTCAACACATGCTTTCACTCCAACAACTTGGAAAGTTCACCTTTAACATCAACGAGCAATGTTAGATCGTGACATCTATGATGCGGAAATCTTAAAAGAAAATGACGTGTTGTAAATGAGCTATAAATTCTTACTGTGAAATTTGAAAGATAGGCACACATACACGTACATGTACATATACATAAGTACATATGGGTGTATGTATGAATTTTTTTTTCGATTTTAGGTAAATATTCATATAGTTATAAAACAGTTTCAAAATATTAAAACAGGAATTTTAATGAAAAATAATTTTTGCTTTAATTACTAAACAACAGAGACTATGAATAAAGATTATTTTCAGTTGTCGAGCCGCTTTTTCGATGGTATTTTAAGCTAAAGTTCTCTTTCAATTGGTTTATAAACCGATTATTTCTGCTTTTCGTATTTTGAAGGATTTTTTCCGGTACCTTTCAAAACTTTTTGAGGGCTTTAGATTCAACGGTATATTAGTATACAAAGTTTTGATTGAAATATTTTTTTTTTTGAAAAAACCTCACAAAATGTTGTTAAAAAAATCTCGAAAGGTCCCGAATTCCTGAACATGAAGTTTCGAAAATATAAAAAGAAAAATCAGCCGTTTATTTAAGCTCAAAATGTTCCAGGCATTTGATTCAAAATTTTTACCCCAAGGGCCGTTTTTACAGTGACGAGTTTACTCTCATTCGGAAAGTTAACTGCTGAATTTAGGTTAACCCCCCCTGTGAAAACAGCACTAAGTCATTTCTTTTAAAGATTTCTAATCTTCTTTCTTGGTGCTTTCTTCATGTTACTGTATACGAACCATTAATCGATGTCCTGAAAAGTTTCATTCACAGGCTGCTCTTCATCGTAGTTACTGATTTATCGCTGTTTTCGTGTTTCTGTAAATTACCGTTATATGGGAGGTGGGCGTGGTTATTGGCCGATTTCAAATATTATCAGCAGATTTCTTAGCTGCGCCCTAATCAAGGCTCGTACAGAGTTTGGTAAGGATTGGTGAAGCGGCTACTGAGACACAGCATTTTATCATAAGTGGGCGGGGTCACACCCATTTTCCAAAAATTTCATAATAATATTATTTTGTACCATACCAATTTTCAACAACTTGGATCCAATGCATATTTACTGAAATATCGTTTTGCATTTTTCGAAAATACCGTTATATGGAAAGTGGGCGCGGTTACAATCGGATTTCGCCAATTTTCAATACCAAACTACCTTTTATAAAGGGCAACCCACATTTCGTTGAAATATCTCAATACATATTTCATACATATTTTCCCCCCTTCACTGGTCGGCGTGCATGATCCCGAAGAAGTTTCGGAATACCGTTCGTTCTACTTGGAAGGCCTACGCACTACAATAGTTATAAGTGCAATTTACATCCAATCCCGTAATAGCGTCCATTCCACCTTCACACCGGCGCTGTTACTTTCCTGTAAGTGATAATTCAAAATTTATGTTAAAACAACTATTTTGCAATACAACATACATATATCATACGTACATATATACATATGTAATTTCTTTTCAGAACGACATTCGCCCATTTGGCAGAACAGAAAGTAGCTGCAGGCGCAAATGTTATTTAAAGTACATTTTGTTACGTTGTAATTGCACGGTGGTTGCGTTGGGCAACAATACCACAGACAGACGCAAAATCACGCACTTATTGCAAGGTCATAGATCTGAAATGCCTAATGGGTTTAGAAGGTATCGGCAATCTCACTGAAAATCGGAATGGTTTTGAAGAGCTCCTGTATAGCAGCAGCTTGAATTGCTCCTGCTACCATAACTGTAACTGTAATTTGTGGTAATAAATACTTATTGTACATATCGTCGTTTAAAGTACAAAACCGCGTAACTGACATTGGCTGCCAAAAATTGGATTTGCTCACACAAGCTCTTGGCTCATTCCTTATTCATTCGTCCTGAAATATACTAACCAGAAATGCGATTGGCGGCAACCCTCCAATTTTTTGTGATATCACTGGTTCTGGTATTATACCAAACAATAGAAAAAAAAATACTGAAATCGGTTCAGCCGTTCTCGAGTTTTGACGACCGTGACATACGAACACAACATTTTTATATATAGATAGTTCATTCTATAACATAAAACATATAAGTCAAAGTTTCACACTTTATATAAAGTTCACAAAAATTCAAACAATTTTCATCAAATTTTTTACTCAGAATTTCTAGATCTAAATTTTTAAGTATGCAGTTTTGCAGCCCGTTTAATTTTAGTAAAACAAAGTGCAAGTTTCAAGACACTGGAAATTAACATTAACTTTTTAGAATTTTTTTGTGAAGGGTGTGTTGCCCATTTTCTTCTTTATTAAAATAGGTTTTGATCACGCGTTGTATGGAAGAAAACGCACAACAGCCTTCACTAAAAAATTATAAAAAATCAATCTTCTAGAAATTGTGGGAAAAAAATTCTTAATTTTGATGAACATTTTTTGAATTTTCGTGAGCTTCATATAAAGTGTGAAACTTTGATTTACATGGTTTATGTTATAGAATGAAATTTATTTTCACAAGTAATTAATGAAAAGAATTTCGCATGAAAATACTTGTGAATTTTATATTAAAACAAGGTGTACACTTACATGTGGCACCGACTGTACGTTTAGCATTAACCACTGATGTATGGGAAATTTACAAAAAACAAAAACCAAAATAATTAAAGAATCATGTAGAATCCTTAAAAAGAGAGATTACGGCAGCTGATACCTACATATGTACATTGTTAAAACTCAACTCGACACTGATATTGTTCCTTCATTTTCATCATTACCTGCCGACTCGAAAAAAAATCGTTTGTTTAACAGCTGCCAGCCAACAAGTAGTATAAGTGTTGGTGCAGCAGGGCAGGTAAATTTTGGTACACTTAAACATAACAAAATAAAACAAGTGAAAAGAAAACAATGGGGCCTTATCTTATTTGCTTTAAATTCTAATTACACAAACACTCACAAAGTGGCAGCAAAAACAGATATAAAAGGACGCTGAACGAAGAGGACGACCATCAGTGCTGATGAGTGAACCGAGTTTGTCGTACAGAGCAATAAAGTGTACATAATTTAGTTAAAAAGAAAATATCAAAAATGAAATTTTTTGCTGCCTTTTTGCTGTTCGCAGCTATGGTGAGTGAAATCTAAAAAGTTATAATTTTAACTTTGAAAACCATTTTAATTTTACCACCCATACTAAGAAGTCCTTCGCATTTTCTTTCATTTGCAGGTAAGCGCTGAATATGTAATAAAAACTGAGGAAAATTTGCGGCAGTATCGTCAAGAGTGTGTTGCAGAACTTCAAGTACCCGACGAACATGTTCAGCAGTTTAGAAATAGGCAATTTCCCAATGATTCAATTACCCAGTGCTATCTTAAATGCATTTTTAATAAATTCCAACTGTTCGATGACGAAACTGGCTTCAATGTAGAAAGCATCCATCAGCAGCTGCAAGGTGCTCAGGTAGCGCCTCCCGGCAATGCCGATCATGATGATGCTCTACACGACAAGATCGCCGCCTGTGTTGACAGCAATGAGCAGGGTTCGAGCGCCTGCGAGTGGGCCTACCGTGGCGGTGTTTGTGGCATGAAAGCGAATCTACAATTCATCAAAACAAATTAATCAAAAAATATTTAGAGGCCACTCAAAGTTTCCCATGTATTTAATGTGGGAAAACACTATTTTTCGTAGAAATGGTATAGAATTTTTGTAAATCAATACTTTTAAATGGCAAGCTCTGTTTCTCTTCAGAGGAATTCAAAGAATAATACCCAAATTTTGATGTAAAAAATGTTTAATATGTATTAAGAATTTTTACCATATTGTACAACTGAAATATTGAAATAAAATTTAGCTTGCATTAACAGGTCTATTCTTGCATTGGTAACAAACGTTTTTTTTTGCCGGTAAATAAAGTTTCTGTAAATTTTTAAACCATTTTCGCATTCTGCGCACAGATAAAGTTCGTTACCATCTCATAAGCAACATCAGAATTTATACAAAACAACATAGCCGAATTGCTGAATAGATTAAAACGTTACCAAAGTAATTAGAAATGCGGTTACCAGAAGCAGTGCCATTTTTTGGTAACAAAATTTCCCGGTGTCAAAATAATCGGCAACAAGCAGATAGGCCTGTAAAGGGCTGCGCATTAGCTTTGTGCACCTCCAACTTCCGAGGTTTAGCTTCACACATATCATCCAGCTATTTTTACCTATTAATACCAGCTGTGACAACGACTTAAAACCTCTTATATTTAGATACCCAAATTTGGTGTAATGGTAGCTTCCAGACTAACCAAGCTTCTTAACGATACGTGGATCAAAGAAGACCTGTAACCAAATGCGGTATTTTACCATAAATCGTACTTGCCTGCGGTAAATAACCTGCGGCAGTGACCTGCTCGCTTCTGTAAATATTAATCTAACCCAATCTACCACTGTTTTTACGCGAAATTCTGTGAAGTTAAAATCATTTTAATAAATTGCTTATATTTTTGCAGCTTAACCCAATTTTTGTTATTTTTCCTGAGGGTAAAACGAGAGATGTCGTATTAAGTGCACCTTCTATTTGTGTGTGTGTGTGTGTGTGTGTGTGTGTGTGTGTGTGTATGGATTTGAATTGAAGTAGTCTGCCACAAGTTCATTGTCCACCATTATGCATTATGCAATAAAATATGTATGTATATATGTACGTATAATGATAATGCTGAGGGAAAGCTCTGGCAGATATGCAACAGATTTATGAAAGCTATGAATAGTACGCTTGAGTTAGCGCAAAGAACTTAAGCTGGTGCATTTGCAAAAGTCAACATTTCCCCAGCTGTCACAGTTACAGCTATACATGCAAACATACATACATACATGGGATGCACTAGACGCATTCATACATACATATATGAATACTCATGGATGCTAGGAGGAGTAGAAATTGTAAGAAAATAATTTACACAAAATCGTTCCGACCAGCGAATTGAACATTTGTTCTGGATTCACGTGAAATATAGAATTTAAAGACACAGTTTCTCAGATTCTGTTTAAGTGTTGGATGTGTAACCAGCCACGTGAAACAAATTTCTAATGAAAAGAAAAATTCAGCCTCGGATAAAACCCCCTTCATTTGATAACGTCCAGCCCGAATGTAAAACAAAGGACTACAGTTTGAGAGTATGCCTCCCGCATTGTATTTTTTTGTGGTTTTCGGGTGACCTGTAAAAAAGGTTAATATTAAAAGATGGTAAAATAAACAGCTGTGTATTGTTATTGGAAGTCTTCCAATCGAAAAATATTGATTTTCGAAAATTCTGCACCATTTCCACGCAAAAGTATTTTTTCCTCACATAAAATACATTGAAAACTTTATGGGCTTTGAGGCAGTCCTAAATACCATTTTTTTACAAAAAATACGCGTATTCTTCTTTTCCATTTAGAAAAATCCTAGGGGTATGAGCTTCACATTTTAAACTCTTTTCCCACATATCTTTTGGATCGCCCTAAGACGATGAGACAGCTCTTGGAGTATTCGAGAGAAAGATTTTGCAGAAGATTTACGGGTCTTTACGCGTTGGCGACGACGAGTACCGAGGAAGATGGAACGATGAGCTGTATGAGCTTTACAACGACATGGACTTAGTGCAGCGATTTCAAATACACAGCGGCCATGTCGTTCGAATGGACACCGACGCTCCAGCTCTGAAAGTATTCAACGCGGGTCGCGACTCGCGATGCTGCTGGCGAAGGACTTGGCTCCACTTGGCATTTCCAATTGGCATCAGTTGGCAGAGAAGAGAAACGACTGGCGTAGATATTTTGTTGAACTTAGCCAAAATGGCTTAAGCGGTTACAGGGCCAAATAAGAAGAAGAACATTCTCATTTAAAATATTGTCATTTAATTCAGCGTGAAATAAGCCAACCTACACATATCATTCTTTTAAGGGTTTTGTGTTGGCACAGTAGTAGTTTTTATTAGGAAGCTCTTTGAATTCGTACATACAACGGTGTAAGCCAATATGCTGAACTTAAACCGCTATGGTCCAGAAGGCCTATGTAAAGATTATGCAAGATATTATGCTTTCATTTGCTGAATACGAAACACACAGCGAGGCTGGCAAAATTTTCGTTTCGTTTTTCATTCCCATAGAAACCCTGTGGACTGACCACAAAATGGCAGTATGGAAAGTCAAGCCGAAAACAACAATGAACTATGGGCCGTGGTTCAACGTGTATGGCAGTCAATAGCAAAAGCAAGATGTGAGCGTCTCGTGGACTCCATGAGGGATCGTTGTGATGCTGTAATTAAAAATAAGGGTCATGCAACCAAATATTAAATAAATTTTTGGTCTAAATATATTTATGTTCTTAAATTTAAGTTTTTTTGAATTCACTACTATTCTATGTAGTGCTCTCACTTATTTCCATATAAAGTCAATATCACCTGAATTACTTTATTTAGTTCTTATGTAAACAAAACTTTTTTCATCTATTATCTTATTTGAGAAAATGTTTACTAATCTATACTAAAAATAAATGCAACTGTTACTTGGATATTTCAAAAGTTCACAAAACGTGACGTGCGACTAGTATGGTGTTCGAGTGCTTAGATATGCCCACCGCCTCCCGGCAGGTTCCTGTTCAATTTCTGGTCCCCGCAACATCAAAAAAAATTTTTTCAATAGTTTCCCCTCGGCAGACAATGGCAACCCCCGGGTGTACTTCTGACATAAAAAAAAAACTTCTTCGGAGGTGGAGTAAAAGTGTATATCGCTTCATTTAGGGGTTTCCCTTATTCTGGAAAAAGCCTTGAAAACTTTAAAAAACTCAAAACATTTATTGAGAGGCCAAGGCTTGAATGACATGAAAAAACCCGGTTTTTTCGATAGAAAAATCCGACTTATTAGATATTCGAAAAATCAAGATTTCACAAAAACCGACTATAAATATCCAAAAAAACGGTGGAAAGCGATTTGGAAAAACTGGGTCAATCAGCCACTATTATTTCTGTGCTCGCATAGTAAGAGTCCCCCCAAGTATGTAATTTAAAACTTAACGTCATCTCCAAACATTTTACTTAAACTCATGACTCTACTCAAAAAAAACTTAACTACTTAAAAAAAAAAACAGGCATATACGTAAGTATTATAAAATCGAATGGGTGGTTTTGCACCATAGCGCGTGCATTCTCTGCTCCTCTGTTGTCTGATTGTTGCAACATGCAACGCATGTTTTACACATTTTAATCTTATTTAAGTTGTACTACATAAGTTCAGTAATGCGGATGGAAATTTTGCGCTTTTGTCGCGTCATAGGAGGCTTATAAAGGTACATTCGGAAGTATGAGTTTGTGTTTAACTGTATGGTAGGGGCCAGAGGGCTGCGACGTGTAGCTCATATGTACAAATATGCGTATTGGGATACAAGAAGTATGCTTACGCAAAGTATAGCATATAGCAAGTGCGAGTATAAAGCTTACTTTCAAAACAAAGTTCGCGAAAACTAGTAAATGAGTAGAAATCGGTCAAGAAAAATGTGTCATTATTTCGTGTGTGTGTGTCCAAGGAATTTTGACATTTTTGATACTTCATAGCCTCACTCTTTCCTCAAGAAATAATGGAACGGGCATATATTTCTGTTGCAAACCTGGGTTCCCTTGTGCTCTTGTTTTCACAAAAAACTTAAGAAAACCGTAGTAAAAAGTGCATCAAATTTCTTAAGAACTGCGTACTGCCTGAAGGAAATTTGACTTATGAAAATTTCTTAGCCATTTCTTGTACGTCATTTTGTATGGAATTTTAGCTTTTCTTGAGAACTGCATACAGGCCTATACGTACACGACTTACAGTGACTCAAACAAATGACCACGTGTAGATTTTTTTAATGTTCGTAATGTTTTTCGAGCAATTTTATTTTTCTATATAATAAATATAAATCACAGTTTCAATCTTTACACAAAATTTAAGAAAATTCAACAAATTTTTACCGAAATTCCCGTTTTTAACTTTTATACCTTAGAACATTTTTGAGTATGCACTTTTACAGCCCATACAATTTTAGTCTAATGAAGTGCAAGTTTGAACCGCCTAAAAATCGCGTTGATTTTTGAGGTTTTTGCAATTTACAAAAACTCAGTACTCACAAAAAGTGGATAGATGACGTGCATAGTACGCGCAAAGTGCATCACTTGTGCAGATCTCTGGTAGGGACAAAGGACAATAGTGTGCACGCAACATACGCATGCGCTATTAATCTCAATGCAGTAATTTTTCCATAAATAATAAAATTAAATAACGAAAACATAGGAGTGGTATTCACCAAAGTGAGCAAGAGGCCTGGCAGTCTGGCAAAAGGGTAGCAATGGAATTCTGACAATCGCCACGTTATATTTCCATCGCCGAAATTTTCTAAATGAAATTCAGTGTAGCTGGTAGGATAAGGGGTATGTTACTAGGTGTTGCATGTTGTTAGGCGCGCCTGCTTTTTTGGAGATTTTTCGCGTTCAAAATTAGTGATAGCGAATGCTGAAATTCGTCCTTGCTTAAGCTCATCTGCGCTTTTGTCAGAGTGCCAGGTCACTTGTTCAATTTGGTGAATACTACTATTATAAGCATGTACAGCGAGAGAGGGTTTGTGAGAAACATGAAAAGGGCCGTTCGCCATTGTCAACTCTCTTCCGCTGTGCTTGTGACAAAATTTTACATTGCAACGCATATTGTCGAAATGATGTTCTATAAATATGTTTATCATTTACCTCTGCTGATAGTAGTAAGGACAGAGTTCATTGCTCTATGTAATAAGTAAGTTTTTAAATTAAGTCTTTAATATGTGTGTGTGTTTTTTTTTTGAGTATTTTAATATTAAG